AGCAGTACACGGGCCTCTCACTGTTGTGGCCTCTCCCGTTGCGGAGCACAGGTTCCGGTCGCGCAGGCTCAGCAGCCATGGCTCACGGGCCCAGCCGCTCCGCGGCATGTGGGATCTTCCCGGACCGGGGCACGAACCCGTGTCCCCTGCATCGGCAGGCGGACCCTCAACCACTGCGCCACCAGGGAAGCCCTCTATTTAGATTTTAACCAGCCACCTTAAATCCAATTTTCACTCGCTGACTTGGTAAATGTAAGTATGTGCAAAGTTATATCTCATTTAATTAGCTAAATACTAATTAGCACTTAATTATTATTAGAAATAATTAGTGTTTCATTATTCTGTCCTAGTGATAATGCTGCCAGTCTCTGATCAGATCCCATCAGTAATATAATCATACCCAGCTGTCTGGGCCACTTAAGTATTTTCTCTTACTCCCTAGATTCTGTCTTATTCACTGTTTCCTTCACCAAACAGTTGCAAATTTACTGAATAAGAAATTTAGTCAATTTGTCTTAGAATCACCTGAAAATAAACCAAGTAAGCCTAAATTTTAAATTCATATTACTTCTAAATCATTTTGGCTACTCATTAGAAATTTATTCTAGGCAGTCCTCTAAAATATATTTGTTGAATGTCTATTGTATGCAAGGCATCAGGGCGGTTGCAAAAATAACTAAGACTTATCAAGGGGCTCTCTCTTTTCAGTAGAGAGGTGGCAGGTGGACGCATAAGTGTGACAGAAGTCAAAAGAAATCTAGAAATGACGTGCTCTAAGAGTTCAGAGAATGAGGCCAAACCTTCAGGCTGCAGTGTTCAGGAAGACTTTATTAAAGAAGCATATTATGGAATATTACAGCCAGGGGGACCTTAGAAAACACCCATTCCAATCCTATCATTTTATAGATAAGAAACAGAAAGAAAAGAAAAAAGACAAAGCCCTTTAAGGAGGAATAGCAATCTATCCAATATCACATACAGAGTTGAAAAATCTGCACAGGAAGATAGATCTCTGGGTTCCCAGCTTTCTGCTTTTCCACGACACTATACTGCCCTCTGAGATTGGAAGGATTTCAATAGGCAAAGATGGGAGAAAGAAGAGAGCACGCTGGTGACAATCAAAGGCTAAAATATAACACTGATAAGAAGGTATCTGGAAAACAGAGTGTTTATCTGAGGACATGAATTCCAGGGGAGAAATGAGACACAAGGCTGCAAGCGGAGTGGGATGAGACAATGGAAGACATCAAATGATAGCCTAAAAGACTTAGACTTTTTCACTAGCTAATTTCATGGACACAGGTAGCAGAAATTACTTATAAAATCTAAGACCATCGGTGTCTTAGAGGTTTATAATGAAAGGATAAAAAAGCTTTCTGCCATGAAAAACGCCAGCTAAGTGTAGCAAATTTATAATGAATACAATCTCCATTTTTCAATTTTTCTGTTTCTCCAAAGTGGAGGGTGTCAGACTAGGGGCAAAAGAAGGCAAGACACTGATCTGCTGACGACAGGCAGGGTTTGTGACAGCACTGACTGACAGACGACGTTTGTGTGAAGCCCCTGCCTCCTGCCTTGCACCTCCTGAGCATCTTTTGCAGGCTCTACCCAGAGGTTCCTTAGGCAACTCTACACGAGCCTGAAAACCAGTGGGATCTCCCACCCTCACCAGATGCTGGGGTTCCCCCATGTATGTGTAGAGAGGGAGCTGCTCTTCGCTCTACCCAATGCCTAGCCCTTTGTCCTAGTGTCTTGTTCTCTTCTTTGGGACTCGAAATAGACTAGAGGTAGCATACTGGATTTCACATCGACATTTGTATAGCACTCTAGAGTACTTTCAAAGCACTTTCATAGCCTCTTTTTAATTTATCATAAAGAAGAAGCAATCCTCTGCTCCACCTCAGCCCTCATCCTGTATAGCTCTCCCCAGCTCCCAGGGGTTAGAATGTTCTCCCTGTCTCTCTGGTTACTGGCTAGGCTCTAACTTTAACCTTTCAACCTAGACAACTCTTGTGAAACCCTGACTCTATTATCTAACTCAAATGTAAACCCTGCCTTTACCAGGAAACTCCTTCTGTATCCCACCCACTAAACCCCAAGGACATCAGTATCATCTAGGATATTTCAAAGCTGCTTGAACATCATAACTTGACCCCTAGGAGCCTTCCTTTTGAAAGCCTGCTCCTCAGCAAAAATTATTCCTCAAGCCCCAGCTCTGTGTATTCTTGGTCCTTTCTTTGCCTACTCTCTTGGTCTACTCTCTGGTCTGCAGCTGTTGAGATGCCAGCAGACTGTGTCTCAGGCAATTCAAATAACAACAGAAGACCTGAAAAAGACACACTGAGTATACCAGGGTTTAACGACTTATAAAAAGTTTGTGAGGTACCCTGGGCTATGAAGCCATCATTTTGCAAAGTGAGATGAGAGTCATCAGTTTTCAGAGTCAGATGAGAACTTGACCTCCTGGGCTTCAATATCAAGTACTGAATACTGGACTGTTAACTGATCTTCAGCCTCCCACTCTGGTACATAGACTCACCAGGACTTTTTAAATAGTGAAAAACGACCACGGATCAGCAATAAGCAACCTTAAAACAATTGTTAAAAAAAAAAAAAAAGACCATGAATACTTTATTGCTCACCCTTTAATTCTTGTTCAGAAAAAAATAAAACAGAGTATTAAAGTCCTTTTTAACAACAGTGACCCACAGATTTAATTCTAACTGAGCACCTATCATGAGCCAGGGACTGTGTGAAGTGCTTTCCATGCGTTATTTCATGTGACCCATACATTAGCCCGACAGTGTGCACGTGATTTGCATTCCTAAGTTAGATATCAGGAGACCGAGCCTTAGTAAGATTAGCAATTTGCCCAAAGTCACAGCCATCTATGAAAGAGTTGCAATTGGACCTCTAGCCAGCTAACATCCAAGCCTGTGAACTCAACCAGTAAACCACTCAACTGGCCCTTTTTTATTTTTTTTTTAAAAAATTTGTTTTGTAAGTTTGAGGGACTAAATAAAGAATATGTATTGTTTTAATAAGTTAAAAAACAAAAAGACCAAATTTCTTCTGAAAGCTTGTTATCCTTAATTTCAAACTAATTTAAGAAACCAAAGGTGCTGTTCATTATGAGTCTGTTAATTTCATTGAGGAAAATTATCAGAAGCCTCTAGATATAAAATGTCCATCCACTCCATCCATAAACACATTCAATATCTACTATGTAGCAGCAAGCACTGTGCCAGGAACTGAGGACACAGAGATGAGCAAGAGAACCATGGTCCCTGCCCTTGACGGGCATATAGACAAGTTGGGAAGATAGTCATTCTACATGTAAATACAGTAACACATGATGAGTGTGATGATGGAGAGATGGAAGGAAGTTATGTAGAAGCAGGAAAACCTAAAAGCTATGGACAAGGGAACATGTCCCGGAGTTAGAGAAAAGGGGTGTGGGAGGGGAACGGGGAGTGCTCCAGGCAGAGAGAAGAGCACGCGCCAAGGACCAGAGGGGAGATAAGAACTGAAAGAGGGGGCTTCCCTGGTGGCGCAGTGGTTGAGAGTCCGCCTGCCGATGCAGGGGACACAGGTTCGTGCCCCGGTCCGGGAAGATCCCACATGCCGCGGAGCGGCTGGGCGCGTGACCCATGGCCGCTGAGCCTGCGCGTCCGGAGCCTGTGCTCCACAACGGCAGAGGTCACAACAGTGAGAGGCCCGCGTACCGCAAAAAAGGAGGGAGCCAAGCCTACACCTAAGGGCGATGGGGAGCAAATTTAAGCAAAAAAAAGAGACTTAGATTTTATTTTCACAAGTATCAATCTGGCTGCAGAGTGAGTGGAGAGTAGATCACAGTGGAAGTAAGGTTAGGGTGAAGCTATATTAGGAAACCACGGCTGTAATCCAGGCGATAGGTGATGACGAGCTGGGCTAGGGTGACAGACGTGGGAAAGAAAAGCAGATACATATAAGGTAATTCTAAGGTTTAGAAGGTAGAAGACCCTTGTTGTTTAATTCAACTAGTCATTTAACTGGGAAAAAAATCATTTCTAAAAACGTACTCCAACAAGGAAAAGAAACGTACTGCTTTTAAACTGCTATTATCATTTATTCATTAGTACCTGAGTTCCAGCCATAACTCACCTGGTTCCCAACCAATAATAGGTGTTCTCCAAGAAGAAAGTCTTTGAGCATATCTTCCATCACTATCATGTGCTAGAGGAAAAACAACTAGAGGTTAATTGTGTTTTGCAAAATCAAGGTGAAATAAGAAAGTTAACTATAAAGATATCTTCATGGAAAGTAAAACATCTATTATAATAGACAATACTCAATTTGATTATGTAAAAAAATTAAAAGTAATGCTGTGGTTATAAATAAGTTATATAACCAACTTGGTCACTGATATTGAAAACCTGAAATGGTCCCCCTTAGCAAGACTCAACCACTGACCAATACGTATTTCAAAGAGTTTTTATGATTCAACTCAAATATCTTTCAGCTATTGTACTATGCAGTGTTGGCTTATAATTTAATATAATATTTAAATTAACACTAATGCAAATATACAAAGGCTTTCTAAAATAACTGGAGATTTCCATGGAACATTTTACATTGACTTCTTCTTAACCATTACCTTCAAAGTATATATAGCTTTAGAATTAAAAGTATATTATTCACTCATATTTTTAAATTCAAATCATGACACAATACAGTCAAAGAACAAGATTAAAGCTGTTCACAACAGGCACAGAGGAAATTACGTTGCTCTTTTGTATCTTGAAAAATAGGACAGTCATAAGTAGGTCACAAAGGCTCATCCGGGAGTTGAAGGGAGAACTATATCCCAGAACAGTTAACGTCCCTATTACTTTCTCTTGGTTTTCTGTATCAAAACAATAATGGTCTCGTAAGTACTTACTGTAGTTCTCTATTTGTAAAAAAGGCAAATTGACCTTTTCTATCTCACATATGCTGCAGATATTTTTCTAGTTTGCCACTCACTTTTCTCTTTTTAACTTGGCTTATGAATTTTTTTGACATCTAGAACATTTTCCTTTTTCTTGCCACATTAAGCAATGCTTCCCTTCAGAGTTTCTTTTTTAGAAAAATTGAGAAAGTTTTTTCCCTCCTTCAAGAACAGATGAGTATTCCTTAACGTTTATCTTGGTAATTTTAATTTTTTAAAACTGCTTGCAGATAAACCATGGAACTGGAATTTTAACAAGGTCTGAAGTAGGGTGAGCAATTTTGTTCATTCTGGAATACTTTTTAGAATAAAAAGAGGTGTTATTAATATGCTGGAACAACAAATGTAAACAGGGACTATCTTAAGCAAATGAGGGAGGGTACATGGTTATCCTAGTTAAAGGGGAGCCCTGGAACATTCTTTTTTTTTAATATAAATTTATTTACTTATTTATTTGTTTGTTTATTTATTTTTGGCTGCGTTGGGTCTTCGTCTCTGCGTGTGGGCTTTCTCTAGTTGTGGTGAGCGGGGGACTACTCCTCGTTGCCGTGCACGGGCTTCTCATTGCAGTGGCTTCTCTTGCCATGGAGCACGGGCTCCAGGTGCACAGGCCTCAGCGGCTGTGACGCACAGACTTAGTTGCTCCACAGCACGTGGGATCTTCCCGGACCAGGGATCAAACCCGTGTCCCCTGCATTGGCAGGCAGATTCTCAACCATTGCACGACGAGGGGAGTCCCTAGAACATTCTTTTAATCTGGGTTCTAGTGATAATGTGGTCTGTAGACCTCGTCCTTCTAAGTAAGCTGAAAAATCAGTGCCAATTTCCAGACAACATTAAGTTCTTCTAGAAATACCTGGGCTAATATGCATGAAGAACAGATACGAAAGTTGGAATAAGCACCTAGAGAGCAGGTAAAAAAGCAATGTAAACACTGAAAAATAATCTAAACTATACTTGTTGTCTTCTTAACTTTTTCTCATGTCCTTCTACTTCATGCCCTCATTGCACCTAAGTTATTCAAGTCAACAAACATTAGCTAAGGCTAAGGTCACGGCCTATATAATTCTTTCCTTAACCTCTTGTCCCACTTGGTACCATAGATTTCTTAAAAGTCTTCTCTCCGGGCTTCCCTGGTGGCTCAGTGGTTGAGAGTCCGCCTGCCGATGCAGGGGACGCGGGTTCGTGCCCCGGTCCGGGAAGATCCCACGTGCCACCGAAAGGCTAGGCCCGTGAGCCACGGCCGCTAAGCCTGCGCATCCGGAGCCTGTGCTCCACAATGGGAGAGGCCACAACAGTGAGAAGCCCGCGTACCGCACAAAAAAAAAAAAAAAAAAAAAAGTCTTCTCTCCCAGTTGTCTCTCTCTCCTGATTCCCTCTTACCTCTCTAACATTTTCTCTCTATGGTCTTTTGTATCTTCTTTAGGTAGCAGTTCCTTAAATATTGATTTTCTTCCTTCTTTTGTTCTCTTTCACTACCTTGTTACATGCTTTCCTGGGGGGTCACAGTATAGGGCAGAGCAGTTTCTGCCTACTTGTACGTGGGCACCCACCGGGCGAGGGAGGGCTATGTTCAGAGTTGGGGACCCACACATCAGCACTCAACGAGTTACTTCTGACCCTGCTCTCCCTAAATCCTCTCATCTACTCCATGGCTTCAACCACCAACTTTACACTGATCTTCAACAGCAAGACTTTTCTTCTTGACTCCAGCCCTGTATTTCTGAGCAACTATCGAACAATGCTAGCTATTTCCCAGTCTCCTCGAACTCATCACATCCAAAACTTGACTCATTCCTTTCTCCTCAGCTTCATTCTTTATCCTGTACTTCTTATCCCAATTAATAGCATCATCTTCTACAACCCGACCCTATCATCATCATCCTCTTGTCCATCTCAGTTGGCCCTTATCAAAAGTCAGTTAAACACCAAGTCTAAGCTATTCAGCCACCTAAAAGTCCACTGTATCTATCCATTTCTATTCCATCCCCACAGCTTTCATCTAGGTTTTTATCATGTCTGGCCTAGATTTTTATCAGCCAATGTGGCATCTCTGACTTCAGTCTCTCCTTGAGTCAATGTGCTCTCCACAGTACTGACAGTCACTTCTCTGTTCACAATCATGTCACTTTTTTCCCCCCCAAATTCCTTAAATGACTCCTAATACCTTCGGAACAAGGGTCACTCCTTATTTTTTTGATGTAGTCTCAGTCTCATCCCCCATCACTCTCCTACTGTGTGTTCCAATCACGGGCGCAATGTAGAATCTTTTTCTCTTCACTCTTCTGCTTACTTTTCCAGCAGACTATGTGCTCTGTGAGGAAGCCTTTTTGACTTTCATCCAACACAAAGTTCCATTGACTCTACCTGCCTCCTACATAGCCCTGCAATGTGTCCCCTCCACTCTGTCCCCACTATCACTGCCTTCGTTCAGATCCTTCATAAGGTTCACCTGGACTATCGAAACAGCCTCCTAACTAGTCCCCCTCTGCCTTTGTTCCAACTCAGAGACAACATTAAAGAATGAATGCAAAGTTAACAAAAGTAGAAATGTGCTTCCAAGTTTTCAACGGCTTCCTCACTTCTGAATAGCTTCCAAATTCCTCAATTAGCAAGGTCCAGATAATCTGATCTTTTAACTCATCAGCCTCATCTCTTGTCACTCTTCCATTTGAATCTCAGCTCTGGCCATGACAATTAATTAGATGTAGCTCCCTGAATAATCTACACTCTCACATAGCCACGTCTCTGCAGATGCTAGTGTCTCTGCCTGAGACTCTCTCTCAACGTTGCCTAGTGAACTCATTTTCCAGGATCATTGCAATCTGGTACCATCACCTCATCAATGCTACCATGGTAACCTGTGCGTACTTCCATCAAGCTCTATAGTAACAGAATCCGGCAACTTGAGCCCTGGAACTGTGTGTGTGTGTGTGTGTGTGTGTGTGTGTGTGTGTGTGTGTGTGT